CAGAGAGACAAGAAGGTCCTCGAGCGGTCCAGGGAGGCGTCGAAGTTCCCGGTGGATGGCATCAGGAAGAACGGGGGCATCTTCGCTGCCTTCAGCACGGCAGGGGAGACTATGATGGTCGCCCTGAAGTACGCGGAGGAGTACGACAACATGCTGCGCGAGTACATGCGCATGGAAATGGAGGACGGGTGAGCACTGGTTGGAGGCAGCCAGGCAAGCGCTGGAAGAGAAGGAGAAGGAGCTGCAGGAACACGGCAACTACAAGACGTGCAAGAACATGGGTGCGCAGCAGACCCAGTACCTGAAGGCGCTCGACTTTGTGGACAGGTGGAGCGACAACGTGCAGTTGCACAATGTGTTGACAGGAGGAGGAGGAGGAGGAGGAGGAGGAGGAGGAGGAAGAGGAGGAGGAGGAGGAGGAGGAGGAGGAGGAGGAGGACGAGGAGGAGGACGAGGAGGAGGAGGAGGAGGAGGAGGAGGAGGAGGAGCAGGCTGGGACAGGGCCGCGCAGGCTGGGACAGGGGCAAGGACTGCGCCTGCTCGTGCGGACGAGCCTTCCCCAACCAGCTGCGGTGGAGGGGCCCCAGCGCCAACTCGCGGTCAGAGCAGGAGGAGGAGGAGGAGGAGGAGGGGGAGGAGGAGGAGGAGGAGGAGAAGGAGGAGGACTGGAAGGCGCTGGTCACTGCCCAGGAGAGCTTCCCTAAGGACCAGCTCGTGAAATAATGGGTGGACAAGATGAAGAGCAACTTCACCGGGGGCCACGCGAAGTGGCCCGAGATCGGCTGCATGTCGCGGCCCCACCCGCACCGCAACGGCCCGTAGGTGGTGGTGGAGCTTCTCATTAATGACAAGTGGGATGCATTTACAGCCGAGAGGCTGCCGCAGAAGATCGACGACGCCATCAAAGAGCACCACCACCAGTTCTTCGACACAACCCAGCAGCTGAGCCCAAAAGACCTGCAGGCGATGATCCTACCCGTCTTCCCGATGACGCACAACGTAAAGGGCCGCGAAATGGTTAAAACATACCCACTGGATGCGTGGCAAGCAGGAGGGAGGAAGTACTTCTCGTCGCGCAGCTGGTGCGAGCTTGCGATGCGGATCGCGAAGAAAGACCTGGAGAACCTTCAGAGCGTCATGGAGGCATCCGAGAGGGAGCTGCAGGCCATCGAGGAAGGACGTGGAGAGGCTCCAACGTCGTTAGGAACTGCGCGCGAGCACGGGCACCCTGCTCGACGGCACTGGGATTTTCGAGCAGTGCGCCGTTTCAAGTGGAGCGGCTAGCTCCAGCGGCCGCGCGTGAGAGAGCCCGATCGCGCCTGCGGCTGCACTAGCGAGGACACCTCGGAATGCAGGCCAACGGAGCCTGCACCGACGTAAGCTATTTTTCTGGAGCGCCGACAGGTACACATGCAGATAGACACAACACTACTGGGACGACGACTGGAAAGCGAGGGCCCCACAGAGAACGCCAGCGCGTTCTCCTTACGGGCCCCTCCTCAAGCGGAACGACAGTGGGACATGACCAGCATCGCAGATATGGAGCCCACTCGCGCGCCGTGACATGAATGGTATTGTTCGCCCCTACATACACGCCAACTGGGACAAAGTGCACTTTGATTACTACAGAGATGTTGTATGAAGCGCATTGCAGCACAAGACGTGTGCCGGACACTGCATTGCATGGTTCGGCCATCGACCAGCACGTCCAGAAGGCGAATTGAATCCAGAGAGGGGGGGACTCTGTTCGAAGCGTGGGCCCAGCAGGACTTAGATATTAATTCGGCCCCCCAGCATAAGTTTGGCACGAAAGGGGCCTCCTGCATTCTCTCCCTCTTCCTCTCTCCCCTATGTCACTGAGGTGAGGTCGTGTCGTCCTCCCCCCTGCTTGGGAGCCCAAAGCGCCCAGCGCGTTCCCCATGGAATGGGCACGCGAGAGGGCCACCAGCCGCTCCCCCCCGAAGTCGTACCCCACAGCTCCTTTGCGGGCGTTTCGACGTTGACCCCCTCATGCGGATGTCCTGTCCCGTCCTGTCCTCCTCCTCCCCTCCATCGTACTACTGCTCCTCCTGAGCTTTCTCGCGTTCTCCTGCTTCTGCCCCCCATCCTCCTCCTGCTCCTGCTGCTGGTCCTGACCCTCCTTCTCCTGCTTCCTCCTCCTCCTTCTCCTCCTCCTTCTCCTCCTCCTTCTCCTCCTCCTCACCTTCTTAGTCCATATTCCCACTTGACGCGGCGAACTCACGACTTGGGTGGAGAAGAGGCACAGCCAAGAGGAGAGGCAAGACCAGACGGCAGGATAAACCACGTGCCAACCAAAGACAATACAGCGCACCAACTCGGATCTAGCGCCCGAGTGAGGTCTGGTGAAGACCGATCGCGCCACTCGAGCTTGTAGTGGCACCCGCGCGCAAACAAATAAGACATGCTACGATCAATGCAATGCGGCGCGCGATCGGAAATTGGGGGGTGAGATTTGAGCGAAACGGAATCAACCAACTGGGAAATCGGTACCGTCAAAACTGACGAAGGATGCGCGGTAAGGATGCAAGTCCCTTGGACCCGCATGTCGAAGCTTTTCGACAGGGGCTGGCCATCGAGAGTGGTCAAGGATGGAGCGAGAAGGCAAGGATGCAAGGATACCCTTGGCAAGGCTGCCCATCCTTATTATCGCGTTCGACTGTAGCAGTTTCGGCTCGTGCAGCGCGTGCGAGCGAGGCGGAGCTGCACGAGCTGCGAGAGAGGAGCCAAGCCTTGTCGGGGCTGGGAACAATGAAGTTGCCTCTCCAACATGGGCGACGTCTCCCACGAATGCCGTGCAGTTGTCCCGATGGTTGTCCCGATGGTTATCCCGTGGTTGTCCTGTGATTGTCCCATGGTTGCCCCGATGGTTGTCCCGATGAATGTGCCGACCGATATCGATGTATGCTCTGGTGGCTGTCCTCATGGTTGCTCCGATGATTGTGCCGATAGTCGTCCCAATGGACGTCTTAATGGTTGTTCCGATGCTAATCCCGATGGTTGTCCCGATGATTGCTCTGACGGTGTGTCCGATAGTTGTTTGTCTTTCTGTCGTCCCACGGTTGTCTCGATGGCTGTACCGATGGTCGGCGGCTGTCCTGATGGTTGTCCCGATGGTTGTTATGGCAGCTGTTCCGATGAATGTCCAGATGGCTGTCCCGATGGTTATCCCTCTCGTGTTTGTCATTTGTGTGCCCTGCGACTGTCCCATGGGTATCCTAATGGTTGTCCCGATGGTTGTCCCGTGGTTGTCCCGTGGTTGTCCCATGGTTGCCCCGATGGTTGTCCCGATAAAGTTGCCGATCGATATCGATGTATGTTCTGTTGGTTGTCCTGGTGGTTGCCCCCATGATTGTGCCGACGGTCGTCTCAACGGACGTCCCAATGGTTGTTCCGATGGTCGTCCCGATGGTTGTCCCGATGATTGCTCTGACGGTGTGTCCGATAGTTGTTTGTGTTTCTGTCGTCCAACGGTTGTCTCGATGGTTGTACCGATTGGTACCGGTGGCTGTCCTGATGGTTGTCCCGATGATTGTCCTGGCGGCTGTTCCGATGAATGTCCAGCTGTCCCGATGGTTGTCCCTCTCGTGTTTGTCCTTTGTGTGCCCTGTGGTTGTCCCGTGGTTGTCCCGATGGCTGACCCGATGGTTATCCTGATGGTTGTGCCGCGTGAGCTCAGACTCCGTAGGCATGAGGCGCGAGTTGCTGGACAAGGCTCACACGTTCCTCTTGTTGCAGTGGATCGGCCAACAAATCGCGACATCGATAGACAGTTATATCCGTAGATGGATAGTGAGACCGATGGACAAGTCGTGAGACCAGGTCAGGGAGTGGGATCGGTAGATAGCGAGGTCGATACATTCATAAATATTTATACCTTTGCATATGCAGATTGGCATACATTCATACATGCATGTCTACGCACATCCTTCTAGGTTGCGAATCCGTTCGGACGCCAAGGACAACCGACAGCTGCGGTCATCTCCCTCGAACTTCCCCATCCCCGCAGGAGTGTCGTAAGGTGGATAAGGCGCGTATTCTTGTCGCGCGGAAGGCGAAGACAGCAGATGGGGAGGCAAACCAGGTGAAGGAGCCGCAGGACGTCGATGGAGGAGAGAACTACCGAGATGCACACCAGAATCAAGCAGAGTCATACGGGCCACCCTGAATCCAACGGCTACCCCCAGGCCGCAGCAGGGATGTGCAAACTGACGTGGCGGCTCCTTCGCCTGCACAACCATGCAAAGACTGCCTCGTGCGCAAGCTGCATGTCGTAACGGCATGCCGCCCCGCGGGGAGACTTGGCGCCACGTGGTGAGTACTGGCATGCCATGGTTGGAATCTGGTGTCAAGGCATGCATAGAAAGACATCGCAGAGGATGGGACGGTGGGCGGACAAAAAGTGTCCACACCTTTTGCGCCAAGACGACTCGTCATGGCATCGCGTCGATCGAATCTGTAGAGGCCCCTTCCCCCCAACTCGAAGTTGGCGGGGTTTGGCGGCAGGCCGCGGTCCAGGGACAAAATGTGGACACTTCAACTTTGGGTTCGGGGGGGGGGTGCGAGGCAATTGCGTCATGCAAGTGTGGTTCTTAACATGCCAGTGTTTTGCCGCCCTGAGTGTGTACACTTTTTGTCCGGGCACTGGAGCAGTGTGAAACTTTGGGCCGTGGCCAACACCTTGTGCCCCGTTGTTCTGCTACTCGAGGCTCCTGGCCATAGCCCACCTCGACCTCAGATCCTTGGCCTGCAACAGAGTGTCTCCAGCAAGCCGTGTTTCTCCCCTCTGCTGCAGGAGAGACAGATCTACCGATCTCCATCTCAAATCTGGTCATGTTGCCGCTCCCATCTGCTAGCGGCATGCGGCCATTGAACATCCTCCTCCTCCTCCTTCTCCTCCTCCTCCTCCTGCCTCCTCTTCGCCTTTCCCGTCATCCTCTGCCCCCATCCAAGCTGACCCCCGCACTCGTGACCAGCCGGTCCTTGAAGCGGACGAAGCTCGTCCGGCCGAGGCAAAAGTTCGTCTCCTCGAGGGCGGGGAGGATGGATGAGGGGAATACGAGGGGTAGGCACAGAATAAGAGGGAGGTAGGGCAGAGGGAGGAGGGGAAGGAGGAAAACCAAAACAAATCCAGGATGCATCAACGAAACTCCAATACACCATTGCGTTTCAAGTGCCAGGACGCAAGCCAGCAGAAGAAACAATAGGAAGAGGTCAAAAGAGCTCCCCCATAGCCCAATCCACAACCGCCGAAAGCCCAAAGGCAACATCAAAAGACCCCCACCTGGCCCTCGTACCTCGTCGTCCTCCCTTCCTCCTCGGAATTACGGAGGAATGCGACAAACCGCCGAACACCTAACACAGCATCAAAAGAGCACTCCTCGCTTTCCTCCTCCCCCTCCCACTTCCTCCTCCTCCCTCTTCCTGGAACCAAGCGGCACCGATACCGTTACCACCCGGACCTCTCCCAGGGCGCTACTTGACCAGAGTGTCAAAGCGAATCCGGGGGTGGCGACGAGGGCCTCCCAAACAGGCGACAGCGCCTCCTTCGACCTCCCTCCTCGTCCTCCTCCTGGGCGAGGAGAGCAAAAGCTGGTCTCCTCGATGGCCCAGTCGTCGGACTTCTTCACCAGCTGGTCGTCGGTGACATTCTGCCCCTTGTCACGGGGGGGGTGGTAACTCGCCCGCCGCGCACCCACCCGCCTGCCAGCCCGCCCCCACTTCGTCCACGATGAAGAGAGACGAAGAGGAGGAGGAGGAGGAGGAGGAGGAGGAGGAGGAGGAGGAGGCGGAGGAGGAGGCGGAGGAGGAGGAGGAGGATACGACACTAGCTGGAGCGGATGCACGGTGCATTTCCCGACACAGAGAGGCGAGGGCGGCGGTATGCCGTCCTCACGCGCCTGGAGGGGTGACCAGCCACCCCACCGAGTGGACCTCGGGCGGCTGGCCCCAGGCACAGCACGGTGGGTCGAGGGCTTAGGGAAAGTGAGTAAGCCGCGGGGAGCACACCGATGAGGGTGCTCCTCTTTCGCGGCTACTAACCCCCAACTCCACGGTTAGAAGATTGGCTCCTCAGGAGCCTGACCCATGAAACTGCAGGCTCAACAACACGAAGGGGCCGAGGCGCTGGGACTCGCTGGGGGTCCTCACGCGCCTCGTCCGAGGGATGAAGTCCCGAGAGAAAAAAAACGCGGTTCCTCTGGGCCCTTTTCGCTTAGCTGGTGACCACGGCTAGAGGAAAGGCAACCAACCAGGAGCTGACCCGCCGTACCCGTGCTTCTTTTGTATGTATATATATATATATATATCAAAACAAAAAGAGAAACACACAAAAAAAAAAACGCTGACCTTCCCAGGGGCGGCCCACAGCCGATGGCCCCCTGGCGGCCTGGGACGGGACGGGGTCCGTTTGGCGGCAGGGCCTCGGCGGGGATGTGCGTCCGAGAGAGGGCCGGAAAAGGCAGGGCCCGACCTAGGGGGGGATGACGGGAGTACCCAGGTCGGCCAGAGCTATAGACTGCACAGTGCCATTGTCATCCCTCAGAGAAGACAAGGGGTCCAAAGCCAACCCTCCGCCTCACGTTGCGTTCGGTGTCCTGCGATCCGCTGCGGCGTCGGCAGCTGCCATCCCTCACAGGGCTGGGCGAACACACAGTCGCAGGACCACTCTCGCACGCGGTGGGCGGGGGGGGCGGGAGACCTCGTCCGACTACGAACCGATCGAATGAAAACAGAAGGAGGGGGAGCAGCGATACCACCGTGAGGTTCGAGGCTCGCAGCGCTGGGCGGCAAGTCCCCGTCGCCAACCTGTCCGCCCTCAGCGTCGCCCTGGCGCGCGGCGCCAGGGGGCCCCCCAGCACCATGACCCTCTAAACCCTGAGCACTGGCAGGGCAAGCATCAATGGAGAGACGACGACGGGCCTCCTCATGTTTAGAACCCTTCTTGCAAAACAGACACCTCCAAATGCTCCGCTTGGGCACGTAGGCGAAAACATGTCGTCTGTGAACCGACTGATCGATTCCACCAGGGGTGGGCCGAGCTGGCGGCCTAAAACGCCTGGGTCGCCTCCGTGGCCGGGTCTTCATGCGGTGACCATCGAAGAAGGACTGCAAGGCATGCGCACCCTACTGCAGAACTCGAATGCGCTGCTTGAGGACTACCCTCATGGCCTGACTCGAGACCCTAGGGGCAACGTGCAAATCTTTACCGTTGCGGGCGGCAGCGTCGGCCCACCTGTTGCCTATGGCATAATTGCGCTGGCCACGCTGATGCACCTTGACGAGGACCGCCCTGACATCGACACCCACCTCGCCCAGGCCCTGCAGCTTGGCCCACATGCGTTCCCACAAGTCAGCGTTGACACGCCGCGGGGTGCAACGCCAACTGGGTCCGAGGGCCAGGCCATCCACGAGGCCTCTGTAGTCCGCGTGGACCACAGCGGGGCGGAGGCAAACAAGGAGGACCTGAAGGAAAGCAACAAGTTCGGCCCTGGGCGAGGCCTGTATGGGGACAGGCAGGGCCCCCCAACCAAAATGCCAACGCCTTGCCTCACGGGTTCCCGTAGTTGACAGAAACCCCATCCAGCTCTGGCAGCCTCTGGCCAATACCGAATCTTTGAACAGGCCTCGTCCGTGTATTTGGCCCCAGTTGTTCCTTGTGGGTCGCCTTGCCGAATGCGCCAACGACTGGAATCATCTCGCAGAGGGAGTGACAGGAAACAGGAGCGACTGATGAGCCCACGGGACCAAAACAAACTGTCAGGGTTTTGGGCAGGAAATCCCACGAAATTGATCGAGCCACAATGCCGACCCCTCGCATTCGCAAGGTACGGGCAGTTCCATAGTGCGCGGTATAAGTCGCAACCCATCTGCGCACACTTCGGGTCTCGATAGCCACAGGCCAACGATCTAGCAGGCGTCCACAGGCCTCCACTCAGCCAGGCACGCAGAAGGCCTGCCTCCTTGTAGGCGGGGCACCACGTCGATCGTGCATCGAGCTCATCGTCGTCAGTTTCATCATGTGTAACGCCAGGGGGCACGTCGTCATCCTCACCTGTGTCAGTAGGATCAGGCACAGGCACTCTCGAAAGGAGTCGAGTGATGGGCTCCACCCAGTATCTAATACGTTCACGACGTATGGGGGGTCACCAGGGAGCGGGGGTCGTCGATGCCATCGCTCCCAGAGTCGCCTGACCCCAGCCTCTCGAGCAAGCTATTTGATAGTAGCAGGAGACAACCCCGAGATTTGTCCTCCAGGCGGCGCTGCTAGTAGTGGCCCATTGGAGGTCCTTGAGGGCAAGAAGGGTGGCTCCAGCAAGGCCAGCAACGTTTCTCCAGGGGGCCTTCGAGTGGTGCACCTTCAGGATTTGCCTGACCCAAGCAGCCTGCAGGGCACGCTTTGGGACCATCGGGCCCCTCGCCAGAAGGGCCCATTGAAATAGCGGGGCGGCCCAGGCCTCCTCAATCTGTGGGTCCGTGCACGGGAACACCTGCATGCAGGAAGTTAGCCAACAGGAAGTTGAGGACCCAGCCGAATGCCATGCAACACGCTGCGCCGATCGCATCTGCTCCACCAATCTGGGTGGGGCACCATGCACGCCCAGTCCGCGCACCATAGCAGGTGGGAGGGCCTGCTTGTGAAACTTGCTACGCGAGGGGCCAGACCTGCGCAGGGCTTGTAGCCGAGGTCTGCGTCTAGCGACTCCACGCACGCGCCCCCGAAGTTGCGCGCGCCCGGTGGCACGGCCCGATGCGACTTCTACCCCCAGGTCATCCAGAGAAGAAACATGACAAGAAACGAGCTCCCGAATATGATGACCAATCCATTGGCCCAAACTGGTCACGGAGCTAGTGATCTTCATATTGTGAGTCGCTGGCGGCAGTAATAGGGCTCGAAGCACATGCACGAGTAAACGTAGTGCCTTGACAGCCCACGTGCTCAAACTGCTGAGTCGTCCGACAATAGATAGCGTAATGCCACCGGCATATATATATATATATATATATATATATATATATATATATACAGATGTATGTATGCATGTATGCCAATGCTCCGTGGTATGTCTGTAGCGCGCCTGGCCAACGCATCATATGGAGTGAGCATCGCACACTGCAACGCAAACATCGCAAAGGAGCAGCCAGGTAATACGCCTCTGGTAGCGTAGACAACCGGCGAGTAGGCAGCATCTCACACCAGCGTCCTTGCACCCACGTGCACGCGAAAGGCGCGGAGGAGCCGGGCACCAGGAAAGAACGCATAGAAACCGGGAGCAATAGCTTCAGCCAGTGTATCTTCTCAAAACACTTGGCCATGTCCACAATGGCACGCGCGGATGCCTGGGCGCCGGGCTGCAAATTAAGTCCTGCTCCGGCTCCAACCAGCACCCGAGCAGCCATATCCGTAGTCGAGCGTTGCGCACCTAACGCCAAGTAGGGGCGCTGTAGACTACTAGCCCAAGACCTGACCCAATCTATCCGAGCCTTGGCCCAAAGACATCGAACCGAAGGCAGCGGGGCAATTGGGCGGCATCCGCCAGTGGGCCCGCCCAAGAGGATCACGTGCACGTAGGGCGCGCAGGAGGGCCATCTCCTAAAGGCTTCACACTAGTGCAAAAGATAACCCAGAGGGCAAGGGCGCCATTGGAGACCAGGGCCCAATGACAGGGCCTATATTGATCGGCGCCAGTAGCAGTGCGCTTGGGGAACTGCAGAGCAGCCTGCCTGAGGCTGGAGATGGGCAACAGTGGGAGCCTCAGACCACGCCTGCATAGCGGCATCATCTCCTCCACGAGTTCCCCGTCATCTTCGTCGTGAACCTTTCGCCGACACACTGGTGGTTCGTCGTCGCGCCCCTTCCAGACTTCAGCCCGAGATCCACGTTGCACGTCGCAGATATCTGGCGCGAAGCTGGGCGGTCCCAAGCTTGCATCCACCTGCGATATATTCCACCCCCTTGGTTTTGACCACCTGTGTACTGGACCAGGCTGCTGTCTGAGGTGCGCACGCACCCAAGTAGTACGAGAACGGAAGCGCGCAGCAGCGAGCCTTCGCTCGTCTCGCTCAGCACGCCGACCGAGGTAGTCGCTGACAACCCCAGTAGATGCACACAAGTGGCCCCAGAACCAAGAAGTATGCAATTGAGGAGGTAGGTGGCCACGGTAGCGGGAGCAAAGGGGAGATGCTGCCTCATCCACCCTTCCCTCCCGTCCTGACTGACAAAGGTGAATAGGTGGGCCCATGCGCGCATCATGCTGCCATTGCCCTTTTATACAGCACTGTGGGCGTCCTGAACCCTCTGCTGCACAACGCGCAATGCTCGAGACTCGCGTGTAGCTGCAGGCTGATGGCAAGCCAGCGCGCCGCCTGCCGTCGCCTTGCGATGCCGTGGGGGGGGGGGGGGGGGGGGGGGGGGGGGGGGGCGCCCCCCATGCCAGAGTATCGGGGGGCATCTTCTGGCCCCAAATGAACCAGTGGCAGCAGCTCCGCGTCTACGCCCGCGTAGAGTGATGAGCATAGGGCATCCAGTCTGGCACCGTGGTTTGCTGGCTCACCATACCGTAGGTCGGGGTCGTGATGCGTGAGGTCGACCCACGATCGCCCGGGGCCCCCTCTTGTAACAACAAATTGAGCATCCCCATCACCGTCCTCCACAACACCCCTGGCCCCCACAGTAGGTAAGCATGGTAGGGGCGGAGGGCCTTTGAGCACGGCGACTTGCTGTGCGCGAGCACGAGGGCCCAGAGAGACCTCCACCGCAAAATGATTCCTCGGTGGGAAGTCGGGTACCCTGGTGGGAGGGGCGAGCACGCTCGCCAGGCAATCGCCGAGGACCCAGTAGTCCAGGTTGGTCAGGTCCCTTGTCTTGGCGTCACGGCGTGCACCGTCAGGCGTGGATACTACCCGGGCACGCAGGCGAGCAGGCCATCGAGTCGTCCATGGCCTCTGGGGGGAGATTCCAATCTCCTCCTGCAATGAATGGCACAGATTACTGAGCAAAGCACGACCCGATGGTCTGCAAGCGCTGTACGTTGTCCCCGGACAGCCGTGGCCCCTGCTCCATGCACGCAGACACCGCAATGAAACCATGACGCATGCCTCCGTGTACCATGACAGCAACAGCATCTGATGGTACAAGCGCGCAGGTGTCAACAAAAGACGCGAGCAAAGTCGCGTCAATCTGCTTTCTCGGAAAAAATCCAACACCAGCACGAGGTCCGCCGTCAGGACCCGCATCATCTGCTGTAACGAAAGACTTCCATCCACGAGCATACGACCACTCTCGCGCCCTAAGAACCTCATCGCCTGGTAGCTTCAGTTCTTGAGCAACAACAACATGAACGCCTGCGTTCTGATCGAGAAAGTCACGCATTTGAGGCCATCCACTTCCGTTGAACGTGGCAACCCTGAAATCCTCACGACGGCTGATTTTGGGAGCACGTCGCGCTGGTCTCTTCAAGCTGTCATCGTCAACCGACTTCGGCGCCTGGTCACCATGTGCCTCCTCAATCACAGCCTCGGCTGGGCCAGCCGCCAAGGGCCCCATGGGCTCAGGGGGCGCTTGCCTCCGACGCCGCAATGAGGCAGCACGCGGGCAACCGATGACAGAGATACTCGTTCCGAGGTGTTGGCGTGGCCTCTGTTGTCTCAGAGCAGGCTCAGCATCGCGCACACGGTTGGGCATGCGCCCAGCACGATACTGCAGCAAAGCCCCATCTCCATCATGAGGAGTCGGATCCGCACTGCCCACATGCGAGTCAGCCATGTCCACGTCCTCCCAGATAACCGCCCTGTGGCGCGAGTGCAGGTGGCCCCTCATCCAAGGTATCACGCAGAACAGCCGCCAAGTCAATCGATGCTTCATAGCCCCGGGTGGCCTCAGATACCGGAAAGTCAGCAAACGGTTGGTCAGCCATCTCACTAGCCAAGAGAAGCCTGACACCTCGTAGGTCTCGGAAGCGCTCTACCATCAAGTCATGCCAACGCCGCCGGCCCCGTAAGTACACGTCGGCAAATCTATTCAAGTGGCAGAGTAGCTTGGGCGCATGCTGCGTCCAAGCATCCAGGCAGATGTGCTCCGCCAGGTCCCGTCGTTGAGGTGGCGCGGGGGCCATGGCGTGCAACGTGCGCGTTCTGAAATGCAGCGCTCCACGTACGGCGCGCACCGAAACGTCCAGTCATCCTCGGCCATCTGATGCGCCCACGTAAGGACATCAGCAAACCAGTGGCCCACGAAGGTCTCAATATGATCGGTGCGCTCATACCTCTCTCCAGGATTTGAGACCCCATCAGCACGAGCATTCCCACCAATCGTAGCCAGTGCATCGGCAGGGGGCCAACTTGAGGCAACTCTAGCACCAGCTGAAACGCCGTCAGCCGCGTGCAAAGGCAAGGTGTCACCGTGGCCCACTGAATGCTCGGTACGCAAGCTGCCACACCCTGGCACGACATGCTCAGCACACATGGGGGCATCGACAACCCCCCCGTCGGGGGCCCCATGTATGCCTGAAACGCTCGGGGGGGTCCGACCACCACGCGAACTCTCCTGAGTGCAGGAAGCTGGCCTGCCCGTCGACAGTCCTGAGCGGTTCGAGCACCCCGAGCCAACATGCGACCCAACACACCCAGGACCAGAATCGCCTAGGACAGGCGACCCTGGACCTACATGCGAAGGGCCATCAGCCTCATCCTTGGGAGCGTGAGGCCGAAGATGTTTAGGAACAACGTCTGCTAAGTTACACATAGCGAAACTCCCACCCTCTGAGTCGCCATCAGCCAGGTTTCCGCTCAAACTTGCACCAGTAACTTGATCGTGAGCAGCAGGTCGACCTTCGGCGACGAGGCGAGCCCCAAAACTGCCGCGGTCAAACTGCCTGAACGTCATGATGCCGATGAGCCCCCTATCCCCCGTCGCTGTGAGTCGGCCTCGAGCCCTTGCCATGTGGCGCGACTGGTGCTGGCCCCTCCAGTTCGCATCCAATCTCGGCGTCCCAAGGGTGAGCATGCTCTGCAATAGAAGACCCAGTCAATTGCGAGGAGTCCTCGCACATCAGCGGCTGCTGCTGCGACTGCTGCGGCTGCTGCGGCCTACCTCCCGACTGGGCCTGGCGATGCATTTCGAAGACCTTCTGCAGCTCGGCGAGGCGCGCGGTGAGGCTCTGGAACATCGCGCCCGCATTGCCTACAACAACTGCTGCAGGAGCAGCTGCCACAACGCCCTGAAGTCGGCCCCTGGCTTGTTCAACATCCTCGCTGGCGGGCGCAACCACTCCAGAGGAGTCATTGGCGAGAACCGCAGCGCGCGCTGCTGCAACCTCGAGCTGCATGGCCTGAAGGTCGGCACGGGCCGTCTCGGCCTCAGCGCGCTTGGCCAGAGGAGAGTCCCCCAGCTCCTGTACACACGCATCCAGCATCTCGACCTCTTTCCGCTTCGTCGACTGCCTATCCAAAGTACTTCGCGACGTGCCATCAGGAGTGCGCCCAGCTCTCTCACGCTCCTCCGCCGCTGCGAGCCGGCGCTTGGCCGAGACCATGAGGTCGTTGTCCTCCGCAATCTGCAGACGGCGCAGGGCGCCAATCGCGCGGCGGGCCTTTCCCACCTTGTCTGTCTCAGGCCCTGCTGCAGAGGAAGCAGCGCCCTGCTCGGGCCCGCCCTTCCTGGCGGCAGACGAGCTTCGCGCCCGCATGCCAGGGGGCTGGCCACCCGCGGGGTCTGGGCGGCCCATGCGATCCCGTCCGCACACACAGCACCTCTCATTGGCGCCGTAGTTCTTGCTGAAACCGCACTGCCCGGTGGCCAGGCAAGCCCAGCAATCGCCGCGATCACCGCGACCACGACCGGCAGCGCGTTCATCCGTGCCGCCTCGACGGCGCCCGCCTCTGCCCATAGGCGGGCGGGGCCCGCGACGCCCCCGCGGCCTCTCTGCGCCGCGGGAAAGTCGAAGCCGAAGGCGAGCAGAAGCGCGATGCTTGCGAGCCTCCGATGTCGAACTGGAGAGCGCGACCTTGTGCTCATACGAGCTCGGTCACGCAACGGCCGATGGCCCGAGCCTTCCGCGGGCAGGCCGCAGGCAGGCGGCGGCGCAGCAGGCGCAGGCAAGCCGCCGCCGCGTCGCGCCAGGCAGCGCCTGGGGCCGGGGGCCCCCCGATGGCGGGCCCCCGCGCCCCCCGCGGGCAAAACGGCTGCGGGGGGGCGATGGGGGGGCCGCGCAGGGGGCCACATGGGAGGAGGAGGCAGAGGAGGAGGAGGAGGAGGAGGCAGAGGAGGAGGGCCTCAGGACTCCCTTCGAGACCCCGGTCTGGTCCATGGCAGGATCGGGGGCACCGACAGGGGGGATGGGCACCGGGGGGACCGCATCGTTCCCCGATCGCTCACTCGTCGCCGGCTGGGGGCCCGATATAGCTACAACTTCTGCCAAGAAGCGTGCGGATGTGCAATCGCGGGCCTGTCGCCGATCTGTCGGAGATGCATCGCCGATTCCAAGTCGATGTTTCTCTCCCTCCCCTGAAATCCGACGTCGCGAAAAAAATGCAAAATCGCAGAAAATCAGGCCCGGAGCGCCCTAGACCCCATCTTCCTGCGTAATTTTTCGAGCCGTGTGGATCTGTGAGGGTCCCAAGCGAACCGCCCAGCTCGAAAAGATTGAGACGCCAGCATCCCAGGGTCCTCCGACCCCTCTCCCCTTCCCCTCCTCGGCTACACGCAAGGAGTGACCCTGCGTAGGATAGGAGGCCTGGCAATGGGCACCAACACCAACACAGGGGGTTGCCTCTACAGGAGGAAGATGATCCTAGATTTCGTTGTTGGTGGTCATAGTTCGGCCACCTTGAAACCAGAATATAACCACAATCACCGAGATCGGGATCTTCTCCCCTCGGTGGATGCACACAGCCGATATTAGTCTTGGTGCCAACCACTAGGCCTGCGATCGGAGTGATTTCTGGTGCGCGGCTTCTCGGGCCGGGCGAAAGGGGGGGATAGCAAAGGGGGGGTTTGAGAATCAGCTCACGTAGCTGATTTTCCCGGCGCCTCCCGGCGCCGGGAGGCGCCCATGTATCGAGGAATGGGCCCCTCGGTGGGGCCGAAACCAGCTGCATGCAGCAGATTTCGTAACCCCCCCTTTCCCAATCCCCCCCTTTCGCCCGGCCCGAGCTTCTGCGGGGTCCGCCAGGGGGCCGGATATACATTCGCGCAGGCCGCTGTTATATCGCGTGGCGCTCGGCGCTGGCGATCGGGGGACCCCAGTGGGCCAGCTCCAGAGGCCCCTCCTGCAAAAGGCCTTCTCGCTGTCGTCGTCGCTGACGTCGAGAGCACGCCATTCCGCAGTGAAGAGCGCTCCGCATATTCGCGATGGCCACGTCTTTCCAATCCGCAATCCACCCCCTCCTCCGCCTCCACCTTCTGCTCCTCCTCCTCCTCCTCCTCCTCCTCCTGCTCCTCCTCCTCCTCCTCCTCCTCCTCCTCCTCCTGCTCCTGCTCCTGCTCCTCCTCCTCCTCCTCCTCCTCCTCCTCCTCCTCCTCCTCCTCCTCTCTCTGCTCCTCCTCCTCCTCCTCCTCCTCCTCCTCCTCCTCCCCTCCTCCCCCCCTCCCACAAGTGTCGCCGACCTCCCCCCCCCGCGCACCTCGTACTCGGAGAAGAACCGCTGCCCAGCACGGGCGTGCGGCGACGGCTGGACGCGGCGGGCCGCGGCGCGGGCGCCGAGCCCGGCGAGGCGCGCGAGCATCGCTCGCTGCGGGCGGGCGGCGGCGCCCTGGCGATTGCGGCGCTTCTGCGGGCGGCGACGGGGCGCTCTCGGGCCACTGCCGGGGGGAGGAGGAGGGGGAGGAGGAGGAGGAGGAGGAGGAGGAGGAGGAGGAGGGAAGAGGGAGGCGGAGAAGGAGGAGGAGGAGGAGGAGGAGGAAGAGGGGGAGGTTCCCCCCCACTCCCCGCCCCCTTCTCCCCCGCCGGTGCATCGCGCATGCATCGCCGGTGCACTGCCGATGCATCGGCGATGCGGAACGATCTTTCGACCCCATCTAGTCCAACCCCATCCAGCAGGCCTAGAGAGAAGGGGGGGGGGAGTGGGGGGGGGGAGTGTGGGGCCACTGCCAGGGGAGAAAGGGGGGGGGAGTGGGGGGGGCTCCTCCTCCTCCTCCTCCTCCTCCTCCTCCTCCTCCTCCGCCTCCTCTTCCGCCTCCTCCTCCTCTTCCTCCTCCTCGTGCTCGATGTCCTCCGCCGCGTTCCTCCTCACGCGCGCCTGGGAGTAGAGGGGGGAGGGAGGGGAGGGTGAGGCCGCCTCCTCCCCCGCCCGCGCGCATTCCACCCGCCCCCACACCGATGGCTGTGGCAGCTGCGCAGGTAACGAGGTGGGTGAAGCAAGCAATCTGCACCCGGCTGCACGTGATCATTGTCTGCCTAGTTGGTTTTTGGCTGGGCCACCGTGGCCGTCGCCAGGGTAGCGGCCTGCGCTGAGTTGCCCCTGAAGCTCACGGTTGGCGTTCAGTGCTTGGCGGTAATCCTGGCCATTGTGGGTGACACCATGCGGCGGGCGTTGGAGCCTGATGTGACCGCAGACCTCCAACTAGGCGCCGGGGGACCTGCGTCGACGAGGGAGTCACGTCAGTTGATTAGCATACGTGGGTGGGAAACCGCGGCGGGTTTGTAGCCCTGTGTTGCTGTGGGGCCACTGCATAGCATAGCCTGTTGGGGCTGTGGCCGCCGTGTGCATCGTGGCGCGTCGGATGGATCCTCTGTGGGTGAGAACGGCACGGTGGGTTTCGAAGCCCCGTCTGCCGTGGATCCACTACCTTCGCGCCTGTCGAAGTGGTCGCAGTCGTCGTTGCCTGTGCCACTGTCGGCTGGGAGAAAGATGGAAGGTACTGTCGGGTGCCGCGTGGGAAAACGAGTGAACCAGCTGCTGCTGCCGCAACAGTGAATGCGGCGGTTGGGCAACAGGATCGTGCCGAGCTCAAGTGTAAGGATGAGGGCAGCTGGTGGCGCATGATGATGCCTGAGCAAAAACGGGAAGTAGTCCGCGGTCACTGGTCGCAAAACTGGTGCATGTGATGTGGGAGTGACGCACTGACAGGCCTCTGCGCGGCAGGCCCCGTCTCGGCATAAGGACTGCGTTCGCCTCTTAGCCTGTGGGTTGTCGAGGGGAGAACGGGTCGGTTGCCCCGCTACGCTGCAAAAGTATGATGGAAAACGCACTGTGGTGGGCCTCGCGTTGTAACCGATCGCGCTGACTGCGTGCTCGCTGTGGGGTTCTCCGCTCCTGGTGCGGTGCCATATGTTATTTCGTCGGTTGCGGACGCTGGTTGTGCTGGTCAGGGCGTCAGCTTCCGCCTTGATGTAATCCATGCTGTCGCAACCCGGATAGCGCTCTCCGTTCCCGTCCTGGATGGACGTAGTGTCGGAGTGCAGTGCTGGGTGCCTCGTGTCAAATGGGTCGACCTCGCTGTTGGGCGCATCGGTGTCCACTATTCCTCAATCATTTCTTGCACTGAAGGGGTCCTAACCTTACGGAGATTGAAAGCCTTGGCAACAATTCCGGGCCGATTTCGGTAGGCGGCCTGGTTCCCGGGTTCCCGGCTCTGGATTCCCAAATTCCTGGTTGCTGGTTCCGGACCGATTCTGGTGGGCGGCGGGGTTTTAAGGTTTCCGGGTTCCCGGGTTCTTGGCCAATCTCCTTTTCGACCGGTCTCTCCATCGATCTCGCTACCTACGTTTCTATTGATGTCACAATCGACCCCACTATAGATCGCGCGAGGGATCTCACTATCGGTCTAATTGGATCGACCTCACGATTGGTCTCACGATCGACCTTACTATTGTCCTTACTCTCGGTCCCACTATCGGTCTCACTATCGATCTCACAATCGATCTCAATATCCGTATCACGAATTTCAAACTATGCACTGATTGAGTTCTCCTTGGTGAAATTGTGATTTGGGTTGTAGGGGGCCGCGACAACGGCATGTCCTCCACCGGGGATATTTGGGAGTTATGCCATCCAAGTAGGAGCGACCGTCGATGTTGGTTGATTGTGCTGCGGTCGCTCGCGACAACTAGTACACGGGTGAAAAGGTTGGCGGTCGGCAGCATGTCGTGGCTGCTTTGGCTGGCTACGCGGTGGCGGGTCCGTACTGGTGGTTGTGGTCTCCTTGGCGTTGTGCGGGCGCATCGGGCGCGTCATTGCTCAAGCTCGCTTGGCCTGTCGCGTTACCTTGGGGGCTAGGGCCGTTTGTGGGGCCTGCTGGTAAGTCATGGTCGTCGGGTCCTTGATCCGCTGGTGGTGCTGTGGGGTCGGATGGGCTGTTGCTATCCTGATGGTGAAGTAGGCGGTTCATCCAAAGGGTCATGTCCTCGGCAATGTCCTGCCGGAAATATGAAGTTGACAACGGCACTGGTGCTCCCGTCGGGTTGTAGCGCGGGCCAGCCTGGACATCTCTTTGGACCTCGTCGCAGTCACGTCGGGCGTAGGACAGGGAAGGCAAGCCCCTGCGGCCCTCAGCCACTGGGCATGCAGAGATGCTGTACAGCTGGCAGGACGAAGCGCACCAGCAAGGCCTGGCGGGCCGCCATGGTAATGGGCGGGGCGCCATTGCGTCAATATTCTCTGAAGCAGTGCATGGCCTGGTCCTGCTCGAGGCGGTCGGTGCGATGAGGGTCCACGGCGCGGTCGCACATCGCCTCCGATTTGCTCGCGCTGCCGATGCTGTCCCTGGTGATCTTGCCAACGTTTATATCGAATTGCGGGCCGGTCGGGCCACTGTGGATGCCGCTGATGGCGCCGACTAGCTTGCAGATCGCGTCGCACTGGATGCCAGCAGCCGCGGCCCCTATGCGAATGCCGATACGTGGTTCTTCAACGGGCATCTCCGCCAGCTCGCGCACGGTAGGCATGCCCGTGGTCGTTGTGGGCATGGTTGCCCTCTTTGGCGCAGTCTGCTCGTAGGGTGCGTGAGCATTTGGTCCCGAGGCTGCGATGCGTGGGGGGGGGGCGGCTTGGCGGGTGCTTGATGCGTGGTCTGGGCGGGTAGATTGAGGGGCTTGGACTTCGGGCCAAGCCGTCTGTCGTCTCGTCTGCGACTTGGGCACGAATCATGGGCATGGCAGATTCTCGCCGCCATCGGGGTTCGGCAAATTGCCCTCTCATGGGTGCTCGTCGGCGTGGTAGTCGCGGGGGGGGGGTCGATTGGCTGGTCATCCTGGGCGGCGATCTGCGCGCCTCCAAGCGCCGGGCGATCGTCGCGGGGCGGTGCAACTGCTGCTGGCGTTGCCATTGTGCCGTCCGTCACCAAGTTGACGGAATTGTGGATGTCCTGCTTGATTCGGTCAGCTTGCTCTACTGGCCCGGTCTGGTTTGGCATCTGCGCCTAGGCGTGGGTGCTCGGTTCGGGTTGGTGCTGGGCTCGGTTGGTGTCGGGGTGGCGGGCCGACGGCGGTGGGTCCGCCGTCTGAAAATCTGCGATGATCCTCCCGGTGCTGGTTTCTCGCGGTGTCGGTTTCACGCGGCGTCGGCGACGAAGCCGCCGATCTCGGGGTTGCCCGCGGCGCTGTTCCACGGCCCGTTCATGGCCATGCCCGCGATGTTGTTCTGGGGCGCCTCCGAGCGTCTCGCGCGCAGTCTGGCACCCCCGCTGAGTTCGGCAACTTGGTCGCCCGGGGCGCGCGCGCCCGCGTGCGCCGGGCGGGCGGGCGGCGATGGCCCTCGAGCTTCGGCGGCGGTGGCCTCTCGGGCGCCGGGGCGCCGGGGGCGGGCTCCCGACCGCGCCCCCGCACTCGCTGCAGTAGAACTCTTCGCGGGTTACCTTCGAGAGGCCTCGGCCGAGGATCAGGAGGCAGTTGCCGGGGTCGTTTTAGGGTGACGCGAGGGCGCGCAGTAGTACACCTCTCTGCAGCAGCGCTTCGGGGTGGGTCCCGGCGGTCCGCGGGCGTGGGCGCGGGGGCTGGTTGAATGGCATCCAGGGGCGGATGTCCAGCTCCTGCAGCCGCTCTGACAGCTCGCGCGGGGCCCAGTTCCTGCGGTCTGGCGGGTTGGCCGGCGGGGGCGGGCACTGGGGGCGGCGGCGGGTCGCGGGGGGCATGCTGCTGCAGCGCGGGGTTGCTGGTGCGGCATCTATTATGCGGCGCGCGCGTTGGGGCTGCATCGCCCTGGGGGGGGGGGCGCGATTGTTTATGCCGACAATTCGGCCCCCCTCAGGCTCAATGGCACGATCTCGATTGGCCTGCTGCGCGACGCGAGCGGCCTAAGGTCCAGGAGGACGCAGCGGTCATCATGGTCGCCGTTGAAATGGTCGCCCCGCTTCACCGCAGAGGCCGCGCGCGCGGCCTGGCGTAGGTCGTTGTCGACGTGCGACACGACGTCGCGGGTGTCCGCTGACTGAAGTCGCGCGCAGCTTCGCGCGGTAATCGCCCCGGGTTCGACCCTACATGGCGCCCGTCGCGGTCGCGGAGGTCGCGCCGCAGCAACTTCGACTGGGGCGATCGTGGTTGGAGCGACGGTGGCGGCGTCGGCATCGAGCTCAAACTCGACGGCAGCTCGCTCGCGCCATTGGGCATTGCCGAAAGGTGGCCGCTGCGGGCACGTTGTTGTTGGGCGGTGGTCTGCGCTGGGATTCGCACCTAGCGTCGGGCCCCCATTCGGTAGTAACCGATACGCGGTTTTCGGCCCTGAGGTTCCCGAGGCACTCCAACTCGTTGTCGCCGACCAACAATGGTTCAAAGTTTCCGTCGGGGTCGTCTTCGCGCGCATGTAGCCCAGCGCGCATATGTGCAATCATGCGCAGCCCAAAGCATCCGGGAGTGAAAAGAACCAAGCGCGCTTGGTTCTCGACGAACAACCAAATAGTTTTTGCTTCGATGTCAAAACCAAGCGGGCGCGATCGGCTCGCAGGAAAACCAAACGCGGGTTTCTGGCAGGCCAAGCGCGCATCCGCATGAAACCAAGCGCGAGATCGCCCCCCCCGCCCCCCCGAGGGGGAGGGGGGGGGGGGGGCGACGCCCAGGGCGCGTTGGAAACACCGTGGGGTTGCAAAAACACATATGCACACACATATATATATATATACACACACATACATACCTATGGTTGCGAGCGTATGTGCAAAAAGCTGTAGGCCATACGTGCGTAGCACACGATAGCGCAGAATACGTATCATGTGTAGTGCCTGACACATGGGCGGGCGGCATTGAATTGGAGTCAAATGGCCCATGTGTCAGGCAGTACACATGATACATATTATGCGTTATCGTGTGATACGCTCGTATGGTCTAAACACTATAGAACATACGCTCGCAACCATATATATGTGTATATATGTATGTATGTATGTGTGCATATATACATGCAACCCTTGCGTATACCAGTAGTTAACAACCATAGAGATGCCGTTGTATGTTGTGCTCGTCATGTTTATGCATGGTACGACAATCAGATATGCCATATCATCATATGTAGCGCGTGGTGCCAGATCCGCACGCGTGTAAATTCCTGAATGTTTATGCAGTACGTACTCACACGTGAAACACTATATGTACCTGTCGCATGCGCACTGTATACACATCATAGGCATAATGCAGCAGGCGCGTGTACATCTCTGATTTACATGGAGCGTGGTTGTGAACATAGTAAATAACATGGCACTATTGTATATTTGATGTTGTGTAGGTATACGCTGTACCGCATTGTGGTTGCACTGCTGCATCTGCACATGTTTGTATATGCACATGTGTATGTTGGTATGTGTACAATTTTGTTTATTGGACGAATACGTGTTATCATTATATGAATGTGTTCTAAAAAGGTGTACATAGATTGCAGGATTTCACCAGTTGCTTACATACGCATGCGTATATGTTCGTGCTTGTATACACAGACGTATACGCACATATTTGTACGTGCGTGATAAGCGCATGTATGCGCACACGCGTGTATATATGGTACATATACATGGAAACAAAATATTCGTATATCCACGCGAATATTTGCCTAAATATACACTCATACACACATGCGTTATATACGCACGCAGACACGCAAGCGCACGCACGCACATGCACGCGCACACGCCCAGACACACCCATCCACAAATCAATCAAACATAAATGTATACGTGCGTGGTGCATGCACATATGCGCACGCGCGCGTGTATACACATATGTGTGTGTACGCGCGGGTATCCACGCAGACATACACATATGTACATGTATCATATACAGCTTCACATGTAAACGCATACACCAATGTCTAATTATACAAAATTACACATTCACAACACATGCACACAGGGTTCCAGTCAGACCCCCTCCCCCGGCCCCCACACACACCACGCACCACCACCACGCGCACTTACGCACACGCACACACACAGTCGCACACGCACGTGGTGGCAAGGGTGGCGGGGTGGGTGGTTGGTTCCAGTTGTGGTGATGGTGGTGGAGGTAGTGGCGATGGTGGTCGTGGCGGTGGTTTGTGTGTGTGTGTGTCTACGGTGTGTGTGTATGTGTGTGCGTGTGGTGGTGGTCGCGGTGGTGGCGGCGCTAGCGTGCGTGCGTGGCGTGTGCGGGGGGGGGGGGGGGCATGAAATTGGAGCCGCGTTTCATGGCACGTGGCACCTCTTCACGCGCGCGCACGCACGCGCGCGCACGCGCGCGCGCACACCGCCCGCCACGAAAAAAAACAATACCTAAAACCAAGCGCGACCCGCTCCTAAACCGAGCACGGCCGACTCATCCCGGCAAGCGAACGAAGCGCGCGCTTGGTTTTTTCGAGCGCAGGGAAAAAACAACCAGTGCCGGTTCCGCGCGCGCGCGATTGTTTTTTTTCAGTCCCGATGGTTTGGGACGTTGCCCGTTCCGAAAATCAAGTTGTCGCCGCATGGGCGCGCGGCGCGAGCCCCGCGCGCGGCCGGCGCGCCGGTCAAATGAGAAAGTAATGGCAGTACCTTGCTGGCCCCTGGGACTTTGCCACGTTCGCTCGCGGCACGAGGGGCGAAATATTCGGCCCCACGAGGCTCTTGGCGCGCGTCTTGGCGTCGCCCGCGCGGGCGCGGGTAGCATGCGCTACCGCGACCGCCCGCAGATGTCCTGGCGCCATTCTGAGCGCCATCGGTGGCCCTCGGCCCCGACGCAGGACCTCGGCGCGGCTGGCTCCCGGGCGTCTTTCCACCCCCGTTGGGCGCGGCAGGCCAGCGTCAACGAGGCGCGAAACCCTCCGGTCGCGGTTGTCGCGCCCGCTCGAGACGGCGCGGAACCCCCGCGCATTGGCGCGGCCCCCCTCGGTAGCCGCGTTTTGCGCACGCCGATCAACTAGACCTGCGCGTCCTTGAGCCGGCGCCAGATCGCCTCGACCCCGGCGGTCTAGCGGCGCTGCCCCCAGCCGGCGCGCGCCGGCATCGTGGGGCTCCGCGCGTTGATGGTGGCTATCATGATGTCAACGCTGCTCTTCCCGCTGGTCTTGTCGTTGGGTGGTTCGAAGTGCTCCGGCGTTGCTACCGCCGCGGTCGTAGTCGGGCGCAGCCCGTTGGTCGCCAAGTTGGGGCGCGCCTTTCTCGCATCGTCGTCGGCCCGGTGCAACCAGCCCCATTGTCGTTTATTCCGTGCGCCGAAGACATAGGCCCACTCGGGCGGCGGGCTTGGCTCGCATCGCCCGCTTTGTCGCTCAGCGACTGAGTCTGCGAGCTCGCCCCATGGATGGCCTACGCGGGCTTGGACGCGGTCGGCGCGGAGGTCGTTCGCTCTTGCTGCCAGGTGCAGTTCATCGGCAATGGCTGACAAGCCGATCTGCGTCGCCCTGCTGGGGGGGGCCTCTACCACCTTGGGGTCTGCGCGAACAGTTGCCGGAGCATTGCCGCGCGTGCCCCTTCGCGCGGAGATCCAGGCGCATGCCCAACTGAGATCTGCCAGCGCAGACGCAACTTACGCGGCCTTGCCGCAGACGCCGGTGGAGGTCGCGATTGAAATGGGGCTGCCATCGTGCCCAATCGCGCAAAGCCGTCGTCGTCTTCGATGGCGATGACCACGGGCCATGCGTCCTTGGTTGAGTCGGCCTGGTGCGCCCCGTCGGCGGCGCGGCGAATTCGCCGAACCCTTCATGCCCCTCTTCCCGACGCGCCAACGAAGATCCTGCGCGCGCGTGGGGAGGAGGGCGGCGCCTGCGGGGCCATCTCCGCGGCGGGCGTCAAGCCGTCGCCCCTCCTGACCTGAGGCGATGGCGCATCTGGGACCGCGACGTCAATTGCTTTCCGCCCCTGCAATGGAGATGGCGATGCCAAGTCGGTCGTTGCGTCGGTTTCCCTACCTGGCGGCGTTCACTCTTATGTCCACGCCTTGGGCGCGGCTGGCTGCGGCGCGCCGCAATCCTGGCTACCCGGGGGCGCCTCCCCTAATCTGGTCGCCGCCCAATGGATGAGCGCTGCGTGTCGGGGCCTTGCAGGTAGGACTGGCGATGCTGTTCTGCCGGGAGTTGTCGGCCGCGATGGACATACTGTGATAGGAGGGGCCACGATTGCCCCCAACAGTCGCCCCCCCTAGCTGCCCGGGCACTTCGGGCCCGGGCAGGTTGCGCGTCGCCACGCGCAATGCCTAGCGCGGGCGCTGGCCCCACCGGTTGCACGAATGCCGCAATCCATTCGGCGTCGCCGGGAAACGTGGCGGCTGGCGCCATCGAAGCAGGTCTGGCACCTCGAAGTGTGAAAGGCGCTGTTTTGCCTGAACTGCTGCTTGCTGCGCGAAGCAATACTCCTCGGTGGCCACCTCGGCCCGCCTCCTGTGGGCGGCGTTCCATTCTCTCCGCGCTGCCCCCCTCTGCGCGCGAGCGCCGACCTCGCGCTGGCGGGCCTCGTTGTGTCATACGGAACTGGCGCCCCTTCGCGGTGAAACAAATGGCACTTGACCTTCGGCTTTAATTGCGCTTTGCTGCGCCATCCCCTGGTGCGCACCCACGTCAGATAGCACTCTACTCATGTGATGTTCATGCCGCCACGATGGTTCCGCGTCTCATGCTCGTGCCGGCCCCCCTGCGTCGGCGACTCCCTGTCGGTGCTTCTCCTCCACGTGGCGGGCGATAGCCCCTCTGCATCGATCCTGGCCTTGCATCTCCAGGCGGGCGGCGCAGACCAGGGAGTCGTTGAGCCTCTGCGTTCTGATGACGGAGACGCGGTGCTCTGCGTTCTTCATTTCGTTTTAGTAGACGCCCCTGTCGGCGGCGGTCTGATCTGTCAGTTGTAAACGTTTCGCAAAGTGTCCCTGTGCTCATCGCGGCGCTCGAGCTGTTGCCGCCCGTGCCTTCTTTTGGGCTCGCTCTGGATGTCCACCCATGATGTAGGTCCTGTAATCCTGGAGGTCGACGTCGGCCCTCTGCGCGCTTTCCAGCGCCTCCTCCGTGCCGCGGGGCTTGACTGTCACTCGTTCTTGAAAGTATCCATGATGCGTGGCCCTTGTAGGTAGTGATCTCGGCAGTGGCAAGTTCCTCCCCTAGCTTGTTCTGGGCGCGCGCGCGGCTTCGCGCGTGGCGCGCCTCTGTTTTCTCCCACGCGTTCTCAACGTTGGCCCGACCGCTCGTAGGTGTTGTCCTATTTTCATGAAGTTCAGCTCCGGTCTCGCTTCTTGCGGCTTGAAGCTCGTCGTTGGCATTTTGGGAAGTGTCGAACTTCTCCTCGCTCCGTTCCCAAGTGCTCCTGGCGTCCTGGACGCGGCGCTGGCTGTCCCCAGTTAGAGGTGTCCATAGTGCGCAAAACGCATGGCCTTCCGTAGACTCGCCCGCCCTGGTCGATATCCTGATCGCTGGCGTTAAGGAGTTCTCTTCGGTCAGCCTCCCACGTGGCCGTGTTTCGCCTCGTCGCTGGCGGCCCCTGCGTCATTGCATGCGTCATCCCTGGCGCGGCCGACGTCCTTCGCAACGCTTCTGAATTCGATGGTTTTCTCTCCAAGGTTGCCAGGTCGACCTCAACCTCGCCTTGGTGAACTCGAGGTGGTCCTCCATGGCCAGCTCGGTGCGCTCGATATCCCTTGCGCAGTGGGCGAGTGCTATGCTGCTGAGGCTCACGGTTCTGATAAAAAGGCGATTTGGGTAGTCTGTAGCCTGGCAAAGGTGTTCTTCATGATGGATGCGGCTGCCCGTCATTGTTTCGCGACGTTGACGTTCTGCCACAGTTCGTTCATAGCTGGGTCGTTTGGGGGCGTCCTCCAGTCTTGCCATCTGGTAGCGTAGACCTTGCGCATGGGCATGGCGTTGTTTATGATCAGAGTGATAATTATGCTTTTTAATTATATCATGGTTGGGAGCACGTTGCTTCTTGGCCGGGATATCCTTTTCCATTGGGGCCTGTTGATCCACCTTGCAGGTCTTGCCTTTTTTCCTTGCCCTTCTGCGGCCGGTCGTTGTCGTCGATGTATTCGTCGCATGGTTTGGGGGGCATTTCTTTTGCCCCTGCTGGTGATGCCTGTGTTGTTTTTCCAAGCGCCCCTGTTCCAGCTTGCATCGGGATGTTGAGCTGCCCGTTGTGCCGCGCATGGCGCCAATCGCAAATGAGGCCGCATAGGTGGGCCTCTGCTCGGCATTCGACTGGATGTTGATCGCCGCAGTGTGGCCATCGCTGGGGTTTGTGGTGGACTGTGGAAGCAAACCAATGTTCAATGGCACCTTGTTCATACGTCTGCTCTGCCACCGTGCTGACAGGGTCATTCCTGATTTCTCTCCCGATCACACTCAGAAGCTCCTGGGTGGTTCAGGCCGCATACAGAAACGCCCTGGTGGTGGCACTACCTGTGCACGCAATTCCTGGATTGCACTATCGTGTTGACTCCCGAGCAGACGCAGGAACTCGCGAGTAAGCTCAGCAACGAGTTCGTCGCGTTGATCGCAGGTTCCTGGCATCGAGGCGTACACAGAGCGGGCGAGAAAATTATCCCTGCCAAGCAGGAGAATGATGCGTATACCGAGCTCGGTGACCTTAACATCCTGGCGAGTCGCAGTTCGCAGAAGAAGGCTAAACTTTGAGGGTCGCCTTGCGTTGTGCGGAAAACCAGCTGCACCAAAACCAAATGTTGCGCGCACCCGGCATAACAAACCGTCTACATCGAGTTGAAGACTGAACGTCGACAATATGTTCCGCAGGCCCCACATGACCATTGCCAACATTGGCCAAAGGAAGTGTTCATATTCAACTAATGCAGAGCCACGGCGAATAGCAAAACACCGAGCAGCATAGCAGACTCTAACACATCCATCCGACACGCCACAAGAAATCTCCTGACAAAAACTCATTCCGAATGTACGAAACGAATGCCAACTCAATCCGCACATTCCGCACCTAACCTTGTTCGGAAAAAAAACGACTTCAGCCCGTAGCCTTTACGTGGCTCAACGGCTCTGCCTTTGCACCCCAAAGTTTTCACGGTGTCCTCCGATCTCGCCTGGATGACATGCTCCTGGGACTCGACTGCATCCAAGCTCGGCGACGTGGCCCCCCACGGACGCCCGAGAACCAAAAGAATCCCTCCTCCCTACTACTCTAGCTACCCCCATCACTCCCCCCTACTCTCCCTCCCCCTCCTCCCCCAGCGGGCGACGACGACGACGACGACGACCTTGGACGTTGGACGACGACGAACACCCCCGACGTTTCCCGACGACGACGACGACAACGACGACGAGGGCAACGAGGGCAACGAGGGCGACGACGACGACGACGACGACGACGACGACGACGACGGCGACGGCCCCCAGCGGCCTCCCGCAGCTGCCCCGCGGGGCCGACCGGGTGGCTGCTCCTGGCCCCGCTGCGGCGGGCGGGGCCGCCGGCGGCGTCGCTCGCCGCCGCCGCCGCCGCCGCCGCCGCCGCCGCCGCCGCCGCCGCGGCGTCGTCGTCGTCGTCGTCGTCGTCGTCGTCGTCGTCGTCGTCGTCGTCGTCGTCGTCGTCGTCGTCGTCGTCGTCGTCGTCGTCGTCCGTCCCCTCCGCTGCCCCCCCCCCCATGCCCCCATCCCTCCCCCCTTCCGTCCCATCCTGCCTCCCCTCTCCTCCCTCCCACTCTCGTCCTGCTCCGTCCCCCCCTCTCGCTCCTCCCCAACCCTTGCCCTCATCCATCTTTCCCCTCCCCTCCTCCGTGCCCCAAGCCCCCCATCCCTCTAAGTGCGCGCTCGGGGAGAACGAGGTGGGCGGAGGGAGGCGGCATGGAGCTGTGGGAGGTCCGACGGGTCGGTGCATGGTACCAGCTGACCTTTGTGACTCGTGGCGGCCGAATGCCGATTGCAAAGGTCAAGTGGTCCTTTTTTGGAAGCTAATTCTACCATGTACCACATCGGTTTAATAGCTTCTAGTGGCCTGCAGCTGCCACCTGGCAGCCTCTAGCAGCCTGTAGCGGCCTCTAGCATCTTTTCCTGGCCTCTGGCGGCCTTTCGTAGCCTCTACACATAATGTTATACATATATATATGTGTTTAAATAGAATAGTACTAATAATTATTCCACGTTTTAGCAAAAAAAACTCCCTTGACAAAGGACTGTACATTAACAAAGGCGGAAATTGAGCCCAACAACACACATGACCTGGGCCCCCTACTGACACCGACGGAGCGGCGCACGTGACTTCCCACAGCCAGCCACAAGAAATCCGGAAGGTGGCGCCGCGCCGCAGCGAAGGCCCAGGATCGATCAGCCCAGACTCGTGAAGAAGTGAAGAAGGACCCGACAAGGACGTGCGTCGGATCGGGCCGCTTCGGCACGAATTCGGACCCGAATCGGATCGGCCGCGCCAGGATGCACGGCAGCGCCATACAATCGTCGGGCCGCATCACATCGACGGAACATCGAAATAAAATCGGATCGGGCGCGCCCAGAACGATATGGATTTGGGGGAAACCAAGAGGTACCGATACCGCTACTCCCCGGACCTCTCCCTGACTGCGTTCTGACCAGGATTTCGACGCGAATCCAGCGGTGGTGACGAGGGCCGCCCAGGAGGCCCAGAAAAGGGAACAACGAGCGGAGGGCAGAGGTGTGGGGGCCTTTTCCTCCCCCTCTGAGATTTGGATGGGGAATTGCTCCTGCCGGGTGGCCAGGGGAGGAGGGCGCAGGGCGCGCCCTCGGCCGACCAAGGTGCGACGAGGCGGCCCAACTCCAGGGAGGCCACCACCGGAAAGGGGCGCAGAATAGCCTGGGACCTGTGGGGCAGCGACTGGCTGCTCCCCCATTCCTCCTCCTGCTCCTGCTCGTGCTCCTCCCCCTCCTCCTCCTCCTCCTCCTCCTCCTCAGCCTCCGCATTCCTCTCGCTGCTCGTCCACTCCTCCTCCTCCTCCTCCTCCTCCTCCTCCTCCTCCTCGTCCTCCTCCTCCTCCTCCTCCTCCTCGACCTCCTCTCCTCATCATCCTTCCCCCCTCTCCTCCCCTCCTCCCTCATCCGCCTCCTCCACCCTTCCTCTTCCCCCCCACTCCTCCTCCTCCTCCTCCTCCTCCGCCTCCTACCCCCCCCGCTCGTTTTCATCTTCGTCGTCCTCAAGGTCGGCGGCACCGGTCGTAAGGCCTTCGCAATAGTTTGGGACCTGTGGCGCAGCGAATGGCGGATTCCAGAAACCCTGATCAAGAAAGACTGTCCATTTCTTGGGAGGTCGATTTCAACCTCAGCCTCCCTGTGCCGCGCTACACCCTGGAACAATCATGCGGATGTCCTTCGACGGGCCCATTGATCAATCACCGGGAACGGTCGGCGCTGCTCAATTCTCGCAACCCACGACTGGGGCAGGGACCAGAAGGGAGCACAGAAGAGGGGGGAAGATACCAACGCCAAAGCAAGTCCTACCCACTTGGCCCTGCACTCGACCACCCCCTCCTCAGAAGGGATGGCACAACAAGGGCAGGCATCGCAAGACCCTCTAGTCCCGCGCTGGTCCCTCGCCCCAGAAAACTTGTCCGAACTTGATCGGGCTCCGGAAAGGGGCTGCATGATCTCCCGACTTGCAACAGCGAGCAATCCTTGAAACAGAGCTAACCCCTGATGGGTTACGTTGGGAGGGCTGCGGAGGTCCACTGCCGCCGGCGGTCTCACCCACTTCTTGGCAGGCTTCACGCTCTAGCGTTTTATTCCGCCTCCTGCCCCCCCCCTCCCCCTGAACACCATCTTCTCGAACTCTTCTGCGGCATTGGACCTCGGCGCCGCGCCGTCCTCAAGACTCGCTCTCAAGGTTTCGAGGCACCCGCTGTCTTTCAATAAGTTCACGTGGCTTTCATCAACTCTGGGTGAACCATAGCTGCGAATCTACAGTTGGCCTCCTCTACTGCACCCTCATCCGCCTCCGTCTTCACGCGGGCGTCGAAGCAGCGGGTTGTCTTGACGTTCGCTCGCGTGTTGTTTGCGTTCTTGCCGAACACCACCATCGTCCCAGCGCCTCCAAGGTTTCGACTGGATTCGGCCCTTTGGCGGTGGCCTGCTTCGCCTCCGCTGGCTTCCCCGCCGCCGCCTCGCTCATCCTGGAGATCGGCAAGCGGACGTACGCGTATGGTTTTGCCCCGAGTGGGTTGCCGCGGCGCTTTCCCCCCTCGTCCTTGTCGCGGGCGCCCGTGCCCGTCTTCTGGCAATGATTGGCCCCTGCCGCCAGCGCCAACTGCATCTGGAGGCTGGCCCTCCACTTGGCGACCAAGATCTCGCCCCCGGCTGAGCTGCGGACGCCGTCGTCGCGTTGGAGCAGCAGCGGCGCCATTGGCCTGTCCTGCTTCGCGATGCCTTTGGCTTCTCCTCGCCCCTCTTCTCGTCCTGGCCCAGCGTCGGCCTCCACCGCGCCCATCCTCTGGGTCGCCCCCGCTGCGTTCGCGAGCGTGGTCGGCAAGCCGTGGTGGAGGCACTGGGGGCGGAGGCTGACCGGGCGCCCCTGGCCCGGGCCCTCGAGCCAGGTCTGCCCGCCGGAGCCTCTCCTGCGGGATCTGTTTCAGTAGGGTGTCCTTGCGAGCGAAGGTGGCCACGCAGTGAAAGCATCTCTCGGCACTCAGGTCGGCCCTGGGAACGCTGACCTGATCGGCTCCGATGGAGCGCCCCGCAAATCGATGGCTCTCGAGCCCCTTCCCCACGTTGCGCATTCTGCCGCACCCGGGGCAAAGGAGGCGATTCCCCTCGGCGATCTCCCCAGCTTCTGGCGCCAAGTCACCCTCAGCTCCGCGCTGGGATACTTTCCGCGGCTCTGCATCCGAGAGCGCGGCGAACCATTCTCGCCTGGCCACAGAAAAACTCGGCGGCTCGCTCGGCGCACCCCCGCAACTTTCCGGGGGGAGGGGGGCGAGACCACAGCATTCGCGAATGCCCCTGCAGCTGGCCCAGGCGACCGCCCATGCTCCTGCCATTTGGACCCCCGCACGAGAGTTGTTCAACAATCGCTGATCATACTGTCCTAGATGGGTCCTCTTGAGGGGCTTCGGGCAACATTACCGGGGCGACAACGCGCCTCCAACACATCAGGCGGCGACGCAGCAGCGTCGAACTGACGCAGGAAACTTTGGCTCGATGGCGCACGACTGCCTCGGGGGCGCTGCGCAGTCGGGCTGGAACTTGATGATGCGTCTTAGCTTGCGGGTCCGACATCGCTCTAACTTTATCAACTCGGCCCTCGTCGATAAAAGCGACATCTAGCGCGCAGGAATAGATCTTGCAAGTGGGCGCCAGAGCCAACCCTTGAGGCGGGCGCCGAGAATGCCTTTCAGCACCACCTGGGGAAGCCTCCAGCGAGCCTGACGCGCGGCCTGAAGCCGAGCGCGCACAGTCGGCGCGGGGCGCGAAGATCTGGCCGGTTCATCCGCTTGCCTCATGCAAATGCCAGTTTGCTAAGACGCAGTTCTCCTTATGTGCGGCACCCTTTACCCGCGACGCTCAACGTCAGCACGATATGCGGGGCATTCACGGCGAGGCCCGTGGCATCCCCGCCTTGCCGCAAGAACTTCGGGAAAGGGGCGGCCATCTCGAAACGATCGGCCACGGTCAACACGGGACGCATCTAGGTCCTGAGGCTCGGTCTCTGGGAACTCCCGCATTCCTGTCAACATTGAACGCAGGGTCAAACTGCTCGCGGGTGCCCAACAACCCCCCTGCTCGGTATCTGTCTCTTCACTCATAAGGTCGTTTGTAGATGCGAAGTCCGTGTCCCACACATGGTATGATGAGTGGTTGCCTACAAGGTCCGCCGGCTCAGGCCCCCCGTGGAATGTAGCAGGCGCCGCTGCGCAGCTCCTCGACCGCCGCGCGGGCGCCTCTCAAGGCCGCCTGTCCCTCCAGAGCGGCCTCACGCTTGACATGGATCAAGGAGACCCGCTGCCTCTTCCACGTCAATTAACGCTGCCGCGGGGGTCGCGCAAGTCGGCAGGGTGCGACACGCTTTATTTCGGAAGCGTCTGCCCAATAGCGCCGCGCGCTGATCGACCCTGGAGGGCGCCAAACTGGGCCAGTGAAAGCCAGCCCGCTGAAGATCTGAGTTCGGGCATGACTGCGACCTTCGAGTATCTTGCCTATGTGCCCAATGAGACCGATCGCGCGGTAGCGGCCCTTAGCGCGCGGCTCGTCTCCCTCTGGCTTTCCCGCGGAAGCCGTCTCCCCATTCTTGAGTCGCCGTGGAAAACTCCATGGAGCGGCAATCTGGCCTGGTCAACGCATGGTTTCCAACCTTCAGCAATGGCACCTTTGGGGTCATCGCGGGCGCTACTGGGGGCCACAGGGTCGGTCCACTTCAGCGCTGGGGCACTCTTGGGGTTCGGAGACCCGCTCATGGCCTGCGCAAAGTCGTCAGCTTCAAAATCCCCGATGAGCTCCTCTTCGGGGTCCTCAGGTACTTCCTGGGGCCATCCATTTCATGCGTCGGCATTTCCGTCGCCTCGAAGATCGTACAAAGAACACCTCTTGTCGCCTGAGAATCCCCACCGTCGTCGAAACGCGGGAGGCCAAGTCCCGGGGTTTCGGAGCGCGAGCATGGGCGCCCTCGTTTCAGGGGCCAATCTCTTCGCAATGGAGCAGCAGTGGCGGGCGCCGTTCACTACGTCCACACAGTCGCCGTCAGCGACCAACGCAGCTACTCTCTGAATGTTCTGGAAACGGACGGGTCCATCGGCACCTTTAGCAGCGCTTTCGAAATTCTGCGAGATTGATGGTGGGCACCAGAACTTCGGGGAGCGTCCTCTGATAGCACTTGTTGTGCCGAGCTAGGGCCAGCGTCTCGTCGTTCAACTTGTTCTGGGGCGAGGCCCTCGCGTTGCCCGAGTAGAATGCGATGGCTGCATCTACAATCGCCTCCTCCAGCGCGTCTAAAGCACGAGGCGCGTCCTCGCGTCTGAGTCCTCTCCTGACCCTCCTGCCATCTCCAGCGGATTCTCCTCCGCGCCTACCCCCTGCCTAAGCGGTCGCGAACATCTCGCGCGCGGGCGGGGGCCTGGTCGGGGACGTCGCTGGCGCCAATCGTCCTCAGGCCCTGGAGCAGTAGGACACGACTCCACCTCAGGAGTGGGCCATGCCGGGTTCGTCTACATCGGAAGCGAAATGATCTGATAACCTCGACTGGTCTTTGGTCGCGGCATCCTCCTGCGATTCCTGGTGCCAACTACCAATCCTTGGATCAAAACATCCGCGACCCCCCCGCTCGGCGTCGCACAACCGTTGCCGATTCGGTTCCTTCCGCGCCATCCGCGCGGAGCCAAATGCTGGCAACTGCTTCCGACTTCCATCGGCGTTCAATACTGCCGTGCCGTTGTTCAGCAAGATGGACAGAAACTGCCCGCCATGTCCGTTCGTGTTCCCGGGCGTCGGATCCATGCCCGCGCATCTAACGTTGGGTCACTCTGGGGCAACTGCACCACTGGCACCCACACGCCAAATCAAATACGTTCTCTGAAGTACAGAGCGATAGTAGCCTCACTGTCCAAAACCAAGCTTGGGACTGACGGCGTTGCCCACGAGCTTGTTCACGGATTCCGCTCCATGATGGGCCAAGAGTTAGCGGGGGCGCACTCATCGAATGTATTACGGTCGCGTTCGCGCTCCCCTCCTCTTCTCATCCGGCGCCCGAGTAATCCCCTAGAGATCCATTCGCGCGCCCGTCTGACCTCCGGTGGAATCGATGTAAAACGGGCCGCTTGCCGTGAAGCATCCGTCCGTGGCTCTGCTCGATGTTCTCGGGGCATGATAAGTTCTGAAGCCAGCGCTCGCCCACGGCGCCGTTCCTCCCATGAGAGCGCTTTGAAATGCACGCTCTTGCTACTCGTTTGTCTCTTGCTAGTCTCAGTCGTTCCGCCGCGCGGTCGACTGTCAAAAAGGACCCGGCGTTGAAACTCCACGGTTTCATTGCGCGGTCGGTTCTCGCGCTTCTCGCTCGGGCGGGTGGAAGCAAACTCGGCGACGCCCTGGGCGGGGCATTCGTCGCGTCGCATTCCGCAGCATAGGCAACCATGGGCGCGTGGGCCGCTGGCCTCGACGCCACCTTCTCGACGTCGGCACGGGCCTTGTCGCTGGACTTGGGCCGCGACCCGAGAGGAAGAGCACGCCCTTGGCCAGGCAACGCGCTCACGTCGGGCCAGTCACCTCCACCTCGTCGAGCTCCTTCGTGACCAGCAGTCGCCAGCAGGCCCGAGCGCGCCCTGGCCCCCAGGCAGACTCGCCGATCAACGCCTGGTCGCCCCTCACCCATCTGGGGCGGTCGCGAGGCTGCGCCTGCCTCGGGGAGGGGGCCTCAAGGGTGCTCGGCGAGCTGCCCCTTCACCCCCCCTGGCCACCACGCCGCCCCTCGTGGCGGTCGGACCCCGCCCGCGCTATCCCTCTAGTAGCGGCGCGCCCCCCACGCCTCGCGCCAGCGGCAACCCCCAGACGAGGGCTCGCGGCACTCAGCGGGCCCATGGGCATCACGACCTCCACATCGACCATGGCGTCGGCTGCCTGGCGCCAGTCGGCCTGAGAGGGCAGGTCGGGCCCCCTCTCGCGCTCCCCGACAAGCGGGCCAGAGCGCGTCTGCAGCGCCGTAGGAGCCCCGGTGCGCGGGCCAGCTCCCTGCCCGAGCACCCCGAAAGGCGGGCCAGTGCTCGGGCGATGCTCAGCGAGACCCCTGTGGAGCGGGCCAGGTCCGCTCGGCAGCCCCCCGAGATGCGGGCCAGCTCGCGTCTCCAACGCAGTAGGACCCCCGAGGAGCGGGCCAGGTCCACGCTCGAGCTCCCCGAGGGGCGGGCCAGTGCTCGAGCAATACTCAGCAGCGCCCAAGTCCTGCACAGAGCCTCGTGGCGACGTCGGGCCCGGTCGCCGCAAGGGCGCGCCAGGACTTTGCGCTCCGACGCCCGTGACAACTGAGCCTGGTAGCCGCCGTGGCACACCAGGACCTTGCAATCTGACGCCAGCGCCCTCGCCCATCACCGAAGGACCCCCGAGGGGCGAGCCAGGCCCATGCTCGAGCCCCCCGAGGAGCAGGCCAGAACTCAAGCCACACTCCGAGCATGCCCTCGCTGAAGTAGGACCCCCGAGGGGCGGGCCAGGCCCGCGCTCGAGCCCCCCGAGGAACGGGCCAGAGCTCGAGCGATACCCCGCGCGGCCCATGACTCCGACCGACCTCGCCGCCCACCCCGCCCAGCCCCCTGTCGAGCACGCTGAAGGGGTCCTCCTCTGGGTCGTCAAAACCAGCAGCTCGCACAGGTCGGCCTCCGCCCCCGCCCACGGGGGCCGCCTCGTCCACGCAGCCGCCGTCGCAGTGCCGCACAAGTATTTCGACCCGCTCCTCGGGGCCCGATCGAACTGGAGCTCGCGACTGGTGGTTAGGGGCATGCCGTCTATAGACGCTGACCTTTTCGGCTACCGCGCCCGCTGCCTCCGCCCCGCTCGAGCTGGTCGTCGCCTCGCGCAGGGCGCCCATGGAGCCATCCTCGAAGCGTGGAGCAGGCTCCGCGCTGCTCGCCGCCAGCAGCTTGATGAGACGCCTGCGGCTGGCACCCAAGTGCTTCACCCATCGGGCCGCCGCAACGCGCGCGCTCACCATCGGGTCGTGGAGCTTCCTCTTGCGGGGTGGCGGCCACTTGGACTGCGCCAGCTTGAGGGCAGGCTCGCGCCCGCTCCCCATGTGCTGCCTCCTCTCCTCGCCCACCAAGTACCAGCGGTCACGTAGCTCGGCCTTAGCCGCGCTGACAGCTGCGCCCCATGCCTGCCCCAAGCCGCTGGCCTCGGACGCGCCGAGGACCAGCTGGAGCCCCTTTTCCCGCATGCGCCCACGAAGGAAGGGAACCGCCCCCACTGGCGCCACCGCTGCAAACCCCCGCGGCTCGACTGCAACCCGGACGCAGTCCTCGCGGCCCACCGTGGAGATGCTAACGTAAACAAGGTAGTGCGGGTACAGCGCCGCATCTGTCGCGACTTGCGCCTCGCTCGGCCTGGGGTCCAGGTCCGGCGCCACGATGACGTAGTCCAGGGTGGAGCCCTCGGCCGCTTGCCAGCAGGTCGGCTCGGGCTGCACAATGGGGATGCCTCGCACCTGCTCGAGCCACGGACCCCTGAGCTCGTCGTTCTCCATGCCCCTGTCGCCCATGGCCACCCAGTCGAGCCCGCGCGCGTTGAGCACGCGAAGGTAGGTCATCAACTCATGGAGGGCGTCGCCGTTGTCGTCATCTATGCCGACGTCGTGCATCAAGTAGACCACGACGACGATCAAGCCACCCTTCACCCCCCAGCGCACGTGGCCCGCCAGCATCCGCGCCTCCCCCAGGAAGGGCGAGGGCACGAAGGGCGGCGCGGTGACCGAGATCTCGTTGCGCGCGAGGGGCGCCGCGCCGCCCGAAACCTCGAGCGCCCCAGCTCCCTCGGCCTGACCTGGGCCCCACAACCCATGGTAGCCCAGGTCGCGCACCTGGCCCTGCAGCGAGCTCAGTTTGTCGCCGAGGGCCCTGTGCTCCTGCGCCGTGAACAGGTCGCCCTCAGGAGCTTCCGCGAGGTGCTCTGCCAAACCTC